TAGAACACGAACACTTTTTCGTTTGTTGGAAGATGAGTAAGTATGTTTTGTAGTTTCTTAGTAACTGTATTTTTTTTAAGAAGCGGGATCATGTAGTGTATCTTAATAGCACAATAAAATTAATGTTATAAGATAGTATTTAAGTAGATATTTATTCACTCATTTAAAATACGTATGGAATAATTATTTAAAATTTATGTATGTACTCTAATAATAATTTACCTAGAATTGGTAGAGTTAGCAATATTTCTCGTTAGCGTAGACGTATGTATACGTAATGACAAATATTGCTGTCTTGTTCTATCACACACAGTAGTGTTAACGGGAGTATCGATATATTCGTTTGTCACTTATTCACGCCGTAGTCGTGAGCCACTAGTATTTTATTAGTTTTAAGTAAAGTCTCTATATTACTAATACAGTGTTATTTATTGGTGTGTACGCTACTGGCAGTTTCCAGGAATGATATTTGCAATCGATTCGGAAGCACTATTATTTATTTCTGAAACTAGCTCTTACCCGCAACTTTGTCCTTGTGACTGAGATATGTTCAGTGACCGAGATAAAAAGTCTATAACCTAAAAGTAAACAGATAAAGTCTATAACTTTTTCCATCCTATATAATACATGTATGTATACCAAATTTCATAGTAATAGGTTATACTATTAAGATGTCAACAGATAATAAAGGAACAAATTAAATTTTACATTTATAATATTATTTCCATTATATCATATCGGCTTTTAACTGTCTATTGCTGAACACAAGCCCATCTTGGGAGGTTTTTTAATAGTTGCCACGCGTGGTAGGTGGATTGGCAACCGCAGTTAGGTTTTGGAGATGTTTTAAGAGGGACGCTGCTGCCTATACCTCGCTTTCCTTAGTCGCTTCTTATAGCACCTTTGGGAAAGGAAGGGATGGCCTATTCTATGCCTGACCACACGGCATTATAGGCATTATACTCGTAATATTAATAAGGATTAAAATTTCAATTTTATATTATAGTGAAATAATTATTTTAGGGACTAGTTATAGAGAAACATTTTTTAGTAGAATTGTATCATTGCTTTGTAATTCTTCATGGTTCATATAACTATAGTTTAATTATAGTTTTTTTTTTTATATTTTATTTATTTTTATGTTGTTATTACATATAATCTATGTATATGTAAGTGTTATGTTTTGTTAAAATAAATTTTCATTCATTCATTCATTCTATAGTTTTGCTGAAATACAAAATTGATCCTGTAATTTTAGACACAAATTTAGAGACCCCAAAGTGTTTCCATAATATATATAATAATCTAAGAGTCAATTGAATCGTACTGAATTTATGAGTGATTCTAGTGGTAAAACCATGTTTCACTATAGCGTAAAATTTGTACGTACAAAGTGAAAATAATAATTTTACAATTCACAAGTTTTGTGGGCCAATAATCTTTCCCAAATTGATTATGTTCGGTAAGTGATTGGCTTTCTACAACTTAGAAGTTTGAAATATGAGTTCCGAAGATAGGTAATTAATTTATAAAACAACTTTGAGCAACAACAGATTTCTTATTAATTTATGGTTTATTTATGTAATAACAGAGGCAATTAGCACTTGTTAAGAAAGAAGCTGTTAAGATATTGATTGATTATTTTGTATTATTAAAATATTGAATTTTTTTTTATTAAAATTTAAATTGAAAGACCCACCTGATAGAAGGTAAGCGGTTACCATGACATAACATGTCATAAACATGAGCAGTACCATGGACATAACAGAGTATATTGTTTTGCCCATGATACCTCTCATGCGTTGCTATTTCTGAGGACTCAGGTGTTATTCCTCTGTACCCTGTAAATTCACTGCCCTTCAAACCGAAATACAGCTATGTGAACACAACTGCTTCACGGTAGAAACATGAATGGGACAGAGGTGCCCATCAAATGACTTTTGTACAAAGTTTCCCTTTGGTAAAGTTGTATGAGTAGAAATGCACTTTGCGTTTGTGTGCTTGTTTGTCGTGCGTGTGTATGTGTGAGCGCGCGCGCGCGCGCGCGCGTTTGTGTGTGTGTGTATACTGTTGATATTAATTTGACATTTCCTAGTAGATAGAACTAGGATTCGAACTATGTACTGCTAGAAAGTACTCAGAGACCTAATTATCCAATGCACTATACGTAGATTCGTAATCAAAACAGAAAATAAAATGACGTTCACAAAATTTGCTTATCTGTAACGACTTTTTAAAGAAACAAGTCCTCTTCATACGAAGTGTATGCCCCAAATGCGGCAATAAGGCTCGTACGAAGTACTCGGATACAAACAGATAGTAAGACGGAGTTTGGCCGAAATTCAAACTCGAAATTTTGGCACGTGATAATGGACAGAGAGCTCGTTCCACGCTTGGTACTTATTGTAACAGCTCTTTATCTATAAAGTATTATATTCAGTTACGACATGATAGATCTTTGTTTAACATACATACGTTAATGCTACTATCTATATTCCGCGGATTTAAATGCATCACGCATTAATAAAATACGCATAATTGTATGTAATACAATTATGTTATTATAAATAAAGTAATTTTATAATTTAGTTTTGTATCTAATGGGTGATTATTATCTATGAGGGGGGGGGGGGGTTCTTAAAAAAGGCCTATAAGTACTCTTAAAAATATCTTTACGCATAGTTGAAAGCATCGTTCGCATTGTGGACTGGACTTTTGTGATGGACCGGGCCCATTCACCCCTTTCATTAAATACGTTTATGTTTGTACCACAGATTTGATTATTTTCAATTCAAATAATTTATAACAATGTTAATATGGACTGAGGAATAGCTAACTTGATATAAGTTTGAATTTTAATTTTAAATGAAAACGCCCTAACCCAAAATAAGTTAATTATATTATTGTTGTATAATGTTCTATGAAGAAAACGTAACGATTGGTATGTATTTTCTTTGTATCTTTTGTATTATTTACGTATTGTATAGAAAAACCATTTATTTACTATTGTAGAAGCCTACCAAATTAATGGATTACTTCATTACTGAACTATTAATTACTATATGCTTTCTTTTATAATCCACGTTAAAAAGGAGGAGGTTCTAAATTTGAATCAAGTTGTGTTAGTATAATACGAGTAATGCTTTTTGTTACGATTTATGCTGCTGTTTTGAGATTTCGATTGACTGACAAAATTCCATGTTCTAAATTCAAATATATTTTTTAAATCTATTCTATCTATAAAATGTAACGTATGTAGATACATTTCGTAGATTAAATACCTAGGTGTTTTTAATTCATTTAAAAAATAAAGAATTGTAACATTTTATCTTTTTAATATTATATTTCTCAAGTCGTATTTAAGTATTTTTATGAGTCTTGCAGTTGCACTCAATTATAATCTTCCGTTATTATCAGTGAGGGCCTTCTGGAGAATAAATGTCTATTAAAAGAATTAAAATTCAAAGTCAGCTCTTAACGGAATTGAGATGAATTAGTTTTATTTCCTTTATAATGACTTTAATCTCTATTTCTAGCTATATGTTGCGGCGCTTTTCCGTTGAATAATTATATAAAGTATTCTATATTTACCTATGCCGTGTGTGCCCTGGTATAGAATGGACACCTCTTCTTTTTCCGTGGGTCTCGTAAGAGGCGACTAAGGGAGGGCGAGGGATGGGCAACAGCGTCTTTCTTAAAACATCTCTAAAAGTCTAACTGCAGTTGCAAATCCGACTGCCAAGCGTGGCAAGTACTGGCAAAACTCCCTTATGGGGAAGGCTTATGTTCAGCAGTGGACAGTTAACGGTTGAAATAATAAAATCCTATATTTTAAGTTAGGGTATAACCTATCTGCGTACCATATTATATTTAAATGCGTCTATTAGTTTGTGCGTGAAAAAGCAACAAACATCTATCCTTACTTATAAAATTTCGCATTTATATAGTAGTAGTATAAGATAGAAGGAAGGAGGGGGAGAGGGAGACCGAGACATAGTTACATCAGGCAGATCAAGGAAGGAGCTGGTGTCGTGTAGTATCAAGAGGTGAAGAGACTCGCTGAAAATCGTAGTGATTGGCAAGAGCTCCATCGACAAGAGCGCAGCTCTTAAATAGATAGATAGATAGTAGAAGTGTATATATGATGCCTTTATTATATTACTTGCGATCCGCCCCAGCTCTGTATGAGTAGATAGACAGAAAAATAAATTGGGCTTAAAAAATGTTATTGCAATTTCCTAAGGATCTCTAATTTTTTTAAACTAATATATGACCTACGTAACTCGCTGATATATTTTTTATTTTATTTATTAAAATATATAGCTTTCTATAGACGAAATAACGTTTAAAATTGGTCGTATAGTTTTTGTAGTATGAGTAGGTGAAATTTGTAGTAATTTTTTTTTATTCAACTTAGAATGGCAAACAAGCTAACGGCCCACCTGATGGAAAGTGGTAACCATCGTCTGTAGACATGAACAGTACCATGGACATAACAGAGTATACTGATTCGCCCATGATACCCCCCATGCGTTGCCATTCCTGAGGACTCAGATGTTATTCCTCTGTACCCAGTAAATTCACGCCATATCCCACCCTTCAAATATCTATTATACATAAATATTAATGATATAAGAAAATTGTCTGTACATGAGATATGTTTAAGAAAAAAATATATCAGTCAGTCTGTCTGTTTGTCTGTATGTTTATTCCGGTAATACGCAAAAATTACTGCACTAAATTAAACATCATTTTTATATATATATATATATATATATATATAAATTAAATATGGAATATATATATAATACTAGCTATGCATATGTATTGCGTATAAAGTATGGTTGTATGCGATAATTATTAGCACATTTACTTATTTATTATCTTTCTGCACAAGTTGGCGAAGAGCCGTTCATTTCAATTAGTGAAGAATTTCATCCGAAGTGTATTAAAGCGTAATTTCTCCACATTTCACTGAATGTACATTTGCTTCGTTACAGGTAACAACTTTGGCGTCGCTCCAAAAGTCACAAAGTCACCTCCCACTTTAATAAGTAAGTAACTTTATTATTTCGACGAATAGTATTCCTTTGGAAGTGTAAGTTAAGTATGTTCTAGAAAAACTATAAAGAGAATGACTTCTAAGTTCTAAAAGTTGTTGAACAAGAAATTTTACTTAATGCCAATTTATATTTTATTATTTTATATTTGTGCGTTCCACAAATTACTCAGCGGGCTATGGAGAGGGCTATGCTCGGTGTTACTTTGCGTGATAGAATCCGAAATGAGGATATCCGCAAAAGAACCAAAGTAACCGACATAGCCCGAAGGATAAGCAAGCTGAAATGACAATGCGCTGCTCATATATCTTGAAGAACCAACAACCGATAGAAAAGAAAGGTGGCAACCCCATACGGGTAAACGTAGAAAGATTCTTGAATGGCAACCCTGTACAGGCAAACGCAGCGTTGGACGAACCCCACTAGATGGAGTTATGACCTCAAATGCATTGCAGGTGGCTGAGAACAGTTCCTTATGGCAATCTATGGGAGAGGCTATGTACAGTAGTGTAATGTGATGGCTCTGATGTTACTCTTAAAATTATCACCTTTTGAAATATTTATTACGTATTCAATTTATATAATTGTACAAGTACAATACATAGATAATATGACATAATATATACAAAGACATAACACCAAAGTCATGGGGAATTATAACGCACGAAAATTTAATGTACGTTACTATATATTTGTATGGTATTTATCTATATTACTGTATCTGACTATAGGAGACGGTTTTAACAATATTAGTTATCAGCATATTTGCCATTCTACGTATTATAAAAAAAATGTATTAAAAATAATATATTTTCTATATCGAAATATATAATTTTTAGAATATACTATACTAACACAGATATAAAATTACTATTTGGCTCCCAGTATTAAGATTAAAATAACAATTATTGTAATAATTAGATGAAAATATGTATCTATTTATTGGAATGTTTTAAATAAATAACAATATAAAATTATAAAATAATATTTATTTATTTATTAGTACAAATATGTGTACATGGCGGACTTAATGCTAAAAGCATTCTCTCCCAGTCAACCATAGGGAAGTGTCAGAATACCCGAATGCGGTACTACTAATTATTGATATACATACATACTAAAATTACATATATAAACGAATAAATATATATGAATAACAAATATACTTACACATATATGATATATACTATATTATACACGAATTTGAGAATAATATAAAGCACTTACTAATAATACGGGGTAAAATTGGCAGATCGCGAATTATTTTAAAAGGAAATGCCAGTGTTAAAATGAGAAAGGGTCTGCATAGGAAGAAAGAATGTACATGAATTGATACAATACAGATATGGAATGCTAAAGTGGATAGATGTACCAGGAGACTTAGACTAATTTATTAAGATCAATTACATTGAGTTCTATTCAAAGGAAGAGTCGAGTCTCTGGAACCGGCGTGTATGCACGAGACGAGTTATGAAAGTGCAGGAAGCAAGAGATGTATGTATAGCGCTCGAGCGAAACGGGAACGAGTCACTGTAATAAAATCTTTCAGTATAAATACACTAACTTCAGTTTATTACCATAAAACTTTCATTTAGAACTTTAGAAGTTACTACATGTTGCTTCTAATGTAACTATGATATTACTAGATGGATTTCGCGACTATATCGCATGAAAAGTTATCATATGTTTTAATGTAACATATAGCCTATGTGTCTATTATTTTCATTGTCATTATTAAGGTTTCATTATCAGGAGGGGATTTTGTATAAGTCGTTTTCTGGAGTACCTTTATCCCATTCGTGTTTCTACTGTACAGCAATTGTGTTTGCATGGTTGTGATTCAGTTTGAAGGGTGGGATATGGCAATGAATTTACAGGGTAAAGAGGTATAACACCTTAGTTAGTATCGTATCATGGGCGAAACAGTATACTGTGTTATGTCTACGATACTTTTCATGTCTATAGGTAACGGTTCCCGCTTTCCATCAAGTGGGCCGTCTGCTTGTTTGCCATTCTTGTTGAATAAAATAAAAGTAATAAATATTCAAAGTTTAATATTTACAATACTATACTAGCTATATCTTACAGTTTTATTAGCGTGAATCATTATAAAGTGTCTTATGTTTTAGGTGAAAATATAAGATATCTGTATATCTCCAGAAAGTTTCGCATCTGTTATAGCACTAGGATTCATAAGATTTATTAAAGTTCTACTGGTCCTACCTCATCTTATCATCCCGAAGAATGTTATCATATAAAGCGATAATGATAATGCATATAAACAACATATTGCGGCAAGAAACAACAATAGGAGGTATTTACGCAGATAAATAGGCAATTTTATTCACTTGTTGTCTGGATTACTTAGGGTTGGACCCCACTTAACACACTCACAAGTAGCAATACCGCGCTCATAATAAGAACGTCTTTTGTATGTGATATTACCTGCTCTTCATATACTTCCCAGCTATGAATTTTAACCTTTACGCTTTCTATCTTTTCTTTTTTAGCCTCTTTTCGTAACTGGCTCAGGTTGGCAGACAAAATGCTGTTTATTTTTTCAATATGAATTTACCCAACATATTCTCTTCTTAATATAAATTTGGGAAGATGAGCAAAATTATGATTTTTTTAAATTATTTGCACTGAATTATTTTGATTTGATTTTGTGAACACAAGGGGGGTAAACGAGCATGCGGCTCACTTGATGATAAGTGACTATCGCCCCCCCCCCCCCATTATTACTTCATCATTGGGGAAATTGAAGATGTGCTGCTGGAATTTTTAAAAGGATAGAATACATATATTCTCTTTTCAAAGGCAAGATGTCGTATCTATTAGGAAATAACAAAATCTATAAATCTATTGCCATTCATCATCATCATTTCAGCCATTATTCATCCACTGCTGGATATATACAGTAAGTACTATCTTTTATAACGTAGAAAAAGAATGCTGTTATAAGGTAACAATCTTACTCCATGTGTATTAGGAATTATAATGTTACCCCTGATAACAATTAAAGATGATTTTAAAATGTATTATACAACTATACGTTATACTAAGTCTATGTTTTTAAATATAATTATTGTATGAATCAAATCAAATTAAATTATTTATTTGTAAAAAATGCAGGTTATTATTAAAATATAATATAGAAATAATAAATATACATTCTACTTATAAGATATGCAAAATTTAAAAGTAATCCTAATGTATTTTACATTAGGGTTTTATCTAATATCAATATCCAATCATTATTATATAAAAAATACTATTCTTTTCATACATAATTTCGAATAAAATTTATTTATTGCATGACTTATATAGAATTTTACAAATAATAATGATAATATATACTTTTAGGTATGTGTGTCTGCGTGTGGTGATCATGTGGAGGATTCATGTCAGACCTTGCATTCTCAAAGTTACGTAATAAGTTCTGACAAAGATAAGGGTGTTTATTTGATAATAAAGTAATAATTCTAAACCTATTTCACCTGTCGTGGTCTGAATGATTAGGAGATAATGGAGGGCATGTCTGTTTTTTGTTTAAAGTAATACATTATACTCATATATTATAATAACATTAGTATTTAAATAGCATCAGACGATATTATGACTGGGCAATTTCTACGCCATTGTAATAGGACTTAGATAAAGTTAAGCACTGAACCAGAACAGTGCACGTTCACACGAGTTCAGCGTTTCGTTGTAAATTCAATACCATCTCAATATAGATATTAAAAAAAAAAGCGAATAAGTTAAATTCAGCAAGCATCATAACACTCATATATCAGAATTTTTCTTTTTAAAAAATTGATTTTTGATGATCTAAATGCTCATAGTATATTTCATAACTATTATCTATTTAAATGTTTTCAAAATAATAGGTATTTCGGTATACATCTAGTGTTTATTTTTAATTGGATAACTTTAAATGTACACAATTTTTGTGCACTGTATTACCCATTTATCATTCCCTATCTCACTGCATTAGGTTGGCAGGAAGAGGAGAGAAGGCTTATTGCACGCGTCTTTAGAAATTCTTTCTCAGTGGATGTTTACATTATAAAATATACCTATATAATATATTATGTAAATGTACCTATATGTACCAAATTTCAGGCTTAAAAGTCTATATAGATTTAGTACTTTTGACTATGTGTTCATAAGTCAGATAATTTTCTAAGTAAAGATTAACATTTTTTATTTGTATTTTTGTCTCAAATCTTTGCTCAGATATTTAATTAAAATATATAGAAGTATTATAATGTGAAACCTTAAAAATTCCTGCGATAATGAAAAACTTTGTAAAAAGTCAATTACACAGTGAACAATGTAGCTTAAGATAATGTTCGAATAATAATTTAAAGGACTTGAGGAAATTAAGAATCCTCGAGTATCCAATAAGCGTTTTAGCGATTTTAATTATCGACACGTCCCGTCATCAAGAATCAAACTCCCAAACGGAATGTATAAGTTCAATTGGCAAATTAGAAAAGTTGTTCAGCACGCCCCTTATTTCAGGTGCCTCTGAGGTACGGAATGAATGGTATGACCAACTTTCTAGATGAAACGGGTGAATGAATCTCGAGATGTAAAGTTTTATAGAACAAAAATGCAAGTTCTTTATGAGGTTTTGAGTGTCTTTTGATGTCACTTGGGACTTTTATTGGAATTAGGAACATGCACATAGATTATTACCATTCTATTTACTTTGATGTCGATATTATAAAGTTATTTAAATAAATAAATAAATTATATAACTTAAATGAGATTCTCTTAAAAATATGTTGATCTCACCTGTTATTACGAGTATATATAAGTGTGTAAAGATGTTTGAATATTTGTTACTTTATCACCTATCATGGGGGGTATCATGGGCGAAACAGTACACTCTGTTATGTCCATGGTACTGCTCATGTCTATAGGCGACGGTTACCACTTTCCATCAGGTGGGCCGTCAGCTTGTTTGTCATTCTAAGTTGTAT